TTTATCCACCATCAGTTAAGATTTAGAGTTCAGCGCACAGACTAATAACTGTTTTGACCTCTATTTATTAGCTGTGAAAATCTTGTTTGGGATGATTTGTCGTGCTCTCCAAGTTCATTTCTTTTATATTTCCACGGCGCAGGCATCAGGAGGGAGCAGTTGGAGAAACATATTACCCAGATGATTAGGTGAGTCACAGGCAAGTCTTTTGATGCAGGAGAAGAAAATTGTATTTCTGGATGCACTTACAATGTACACGGTCTCTGGAAGCGGTCCGGAGAGCGCCATTAGACGCGTTGCAGGAGAAAGGGGTAATATTTACATGTCTGGCTTAGTTTATGGTGTTATTTCACACAGAGGGCAGTCTTTCTGACAGGGCTGATAAAGGGTTCCCCCACAGAAATGACTGTCCTGCTGCATTTATGTGCTGAAAAAGAGCTTTGTGAATTCGAGGAAAACAGTCTGACTAACACTAAATTGTTTCCAAATATTCACTATGAAGCCATGATTCATTTTCCGTTCTTTTATATGTACACATTAGTGTTGAATGATTCATACTAAGGGCACAGAGTTTTTTTTTTGCCTTGTTGGTTATGTTAAACACAGTGTTCACATAGAGCAGCGGAAAGTAATTACCATTTTACATATTGCTTCAAAATGTTTTTTTTCTTATGGCCTAGACTATAACACTAGTTTTATTGTAAACGATAACCTAAATAAATACAAAATTTTATAGTTATTATTTTATTCATTTGAAAAGTTAAATATATCATACTAACTTAGCCTTAAGTGAAAAAAATATATAATACATCCAATTTAAAGATCAAATGAGGTGTTTCATCACATTTTGTGCCGAAATGTGACCCTTTTAGGCCTGGTTACTAGCCTCGTGAGACCATCCTGATCTCGCGAGCTTTCAAGGTTTCACTCGCAGATCAGTCTGGAGACTTTCCGTTAAAGAAAATTTGGAGCCGTTCACCAAACGAACGTCCAATCAGCGTTGGCTTTGAGGCGGGTTGAGGTGTGACGCAACGAGAAGCGCGACAGTTCAGTCTCAAGAACATGGCGGCTTCAGCCGATGAAACTAGCGTTAGCGTGGCTATCGAGCAAGTTTTATCGGAATTACAGAGTATTTCTTCACTGAAAGAAGAGCAAAACACTGCTCTGGAGGCTTTTCTCAGAGGAAAAGATGTTTTTGCTCTTCTCCCGACTGGTTTCAGCAAGAGTTAGCCTGGCTTATGATTGTGTTTTCGTGGTTGCTCTGTTAGTACGTCATATGCTTCGTTGATCTGATTGGTTTATTTGGCCCGTCTATCACCAACATAGGCCAATCAGCTAACCAGTATTTTCGCCCCTTTCCAAAATTACTTCAACGGAAGGTTTCCAGATGGATATGTGGAGTGAATCCATCTGGCGGAGTCAGGTTACTTTGTTACTGCCTGAAGATGTGGCACAAAGTATGAAGTTGGAAAAGATCTGAAAGCACATATTACACCCTGATCCAAAGAGTCAAAACAGATAACAAGCAAAGTCACTGAAATCTATCAGTCTGTAAAAGTTTATAAAGACTCCAAAGACCCACAATTTTAGCCATTATATACAGTAGTAGCCAATCAAAACTTCCCCACTTTCCTTGATTTGGCTGGTCCTTTGCCCTATCCCCTACAATTCCTTTTTAAGCATCAATCTTTGTACCTACATTTTCTGTCATAATTTGAGGACATTAAGATCTAAAGAGAAGCAGGATCTCCTAATCAGACCTTGTAATTCAGTAAAAGGGTGAAGTGAGAGTAAAAAAATATGCATAACGCTGGAAGTTGGAGGGAAGTGTGCTGCCATTCGTCTGCCGTTTGACTGGGAAGCGCCTTTTTGAATGGCTGATACTGTATAAATTTTCACCTCTAAGGTACAGTATTGTCAATTGTTTAATAGACTGACATTTCTGTCGTTCTGAATGAATATTGCTTTAGTAACAGTCTAGTCCCTTCCATCACAAAATATGAAAGAAATTACTCAGTATTGCCTGTTCTACTGTATGATCACAATCTGAATTATTTGTTTCAAACATAGTATGTGGTCCAGTCTAAGTTCTAGTAAGAGCAAACTAGATTGAAAAAGAAATTTGTGGGGGAAACAACTGCCGCTTACCATGAAGAACTCAGACAACAGCTGTCTTTTGGAAGAAAACACCCTAAAAATAGGTTCCATTTATTGTAAAAGTGAATTTTATTGGAAAAGAGTTTGTTTTGCTGTTTGAAAATAACCCCACACTTACAGTCATACATGGTGGTGGTAGTGTAGTGGTCTGGGACCGTTTACCTTCCCTAGGGACCTGGTAACATCTAACCATCAGTTGATTACTTGAAGCATAATCGGGCAATTTTCGTTACTTTTCGTTTCTGTTGAATGTAGTTTTTCCCGTGGCCTAGTCAAAGTCCAAACTTTGACCGGCATTAGATTCTGTACAATTACTTAAAAATGATTTCCTCCAATGTGGATCAATTTCAAAACTCGCCTCAAAGTTATGCAAAAACACGCCTCCACTCAGTTATTCGATTAGCCAACTGGTTCATTTTCTTAATTATTAAATAAAAGCTAAATACATTCAAGCAGTGGTGTCAAAAGTACACACATTTGTTACTTAAGTAGAAGTATAGAAACACTCTGGTAAAAGTTGAATTATCAACTTTGCCTCTTTACTCAAGTAAAAGTGAAAAAGTATGTGCTCCAAAAACAACTTTGTATAAAAGTATAAAAGTATAAAGTAACCTTTAAAAAAACAGCCAGATGCCGCTATATGAATTGAAAGCTTAATTTTTCCACTATTTTGAAAAATTCTCTGAGATAAAACCAAGGATGAGGGAGGTCTTTTTGGTCTCCATCTCCCGATACGCTCTCGCCTGTGTCCAACCATTCAGACATTTTAACATCTTTTCTGAATCCTACATTGCAGCATGGCATAGACAATTCACGTTTGCACTTTGAAGAACAGCTGCTTGCTTCTGATTATTTCCTTTGGCGTCAGTACAAATTTGACAAATAGCTAAACAATGAGTGTTTGCGTTCTATGACTCATCCCATTACACTAGTTTTCACTAGATGTGGATGGAGCCAATGATCTGCATTGGATGGCGCACATGACGTGAAATGAATATTTATAAACATTAAACAAAAGCCAAGAGTAATAGAAAGTAATAGAATGGAAAGTACAGATACTTGTGTGAAAATGTAATGAGTAGAAGTCAGAAGTAGGAAGAAAAATAAGTAATGGAGTAAAGTATAGATACCTAAAAACTGTACTTAAGTATAGTAATGAAGTATTTGTCCTTCGTTACTTGACATTCAAGTATAACAAAAGAAATCTGTACAGTGGAAAAACTTTTTCTCCAAACGGATGAAGGTTTTAACAAGGTCATAAACAGAGTCCATGCCATATTTTTGCTATCTAATTTACAGCTTTATGTGTTTTGAGTCTTGATGCAAAAATGATTTCTCAGCATTAAATCCAGTTATTGCAAACAATAAATATTTTCACTGTTAAACTGTCCTCCAGTGACGCAGCCTTGTCTCTTTCCTGCTTGGTCTTGATCACAAGACTTTTGTTTCTCTGATCTGAACTTTTTTTAACCGACCACGGGTTCTCAGGTTTTTTAATATGAAATTTGAAAGACAGATTAGAGGGGTGTTAAATCATGTTTTATCACTGAAGGCAGCTGGCAGAACTAAAATCCCCTCTGTCAAGTCTACTGTTTTAAACTCTGATTCATTCTTTTATTTTATCCCGCCTGGATTCCTGTAATGGTCTTTATGTTGGAGTTAATCAGTCTCTGCTCTCTCGTTTGGAGCAGGTTCAAAACGTTACTGTGTGTCTTTCAACAGGTACTGCAAAAAAAATTATCATATTACCCCTATTCTGGCCTTCCTCCGGTGGCACTCTCTGCATTTCAGAGTTATTTTAAGATTTTAAATTTTTGTTTTTAAGTGATTGAATGACCTTTCCCCGCTGTACCTCTAGTAGGCTCTTCAGCTCTATTCTTCCTCTCGGCCCTTCAGGTCAGCTGACCAGCAGCTCCTGCAGGTACTGAGGTTTAAAGCTCCAGTGTGTAATAATCACAGGGATTTACTGACGGATGTAAAATATTATAGATAGGCAGGTTATTTATTATCATCTTTGAACTGGAAGTCCCAATCTTTATGTTTTTGTTGCCTTAGAAATTGCTGTTTATAATAACGTAGGAGCAGGGACGGATTTAGGAAATTTGGGGCCCCAGGCAAAGACAGGCAGGGGGCCCTCTGAACTGAGAAGACAGCACATAAAACAGACCCATTATACAGATGTTTTATTAAAATAGACATACATTATTTGTTCTAGGTTTTGTCCCTCTCTTCTTGTCCCTTTTCTTGTTGTTTTCCTCTCTATGTTTGTACTCTTTCGAGAAGTGGTCTGAAGCGAGAGGCATGGTTGTATGTTCAAAAATATACCTTGCTGGAACCATTTTTCCCAGATCTCCTACTGCACCTTTAACCATACATGTAAACAGAGTTTTATGGTGCCCCCAGGAACTTGGGGCCCTAGGCAACTGCATAGTACTGCCTAATGGTAAATCCGCCCCTGCGTAGGACCAGGTCTCGCATTTATGGAGGCAGACATCTTTGTGCTATGGCAGCTCATAGCTGACAAACTAGTGACAGTAGAAATCGCCATTGCGCTCAAATGTGACTGCAGCAGTATAGAGTAACATCAGCAGTAACTTTAACGCTTAGAGCTTTAAATGAAACATGTTGAATTAGGATTATTCATATCACACAGACCATGTAGGTCAGGCATGTCCAAAGTTGGTCCTCGAGGGCCGTTGTCCTGCAGGTTTTAGAGGTTTCAGCTGAATTCCGTTGAAAACTAATTAGCAGGCTTTTGTTGAACTGCAATCATCCGAATCATGTTTTGCTGAAGAGGAGGAACATTGAAAACCTGTAGGACAGTGGCCCACGAGGACCGACTTTGGGCATGCCTGATGTAGGTATACCACAAAATTATATTCAGGATAAGTACCTCGGTTACTTCTCTCTGCCTCATTTGGAAAGCTTTAAATCTTGCCTCCTTTCCTCCAGTCATCCTGCCAGCACCTCTCCCTCACCTGGCCCTGGCTGCCTCTTTGCCCTCTTCCTCACCCTCTTCCTCATCTAATAA